CTTTTCTTCCAAAAAGCTTGTGACAAGATGTTAAGTTAACAGGTATTCACTCAGAGGGGGGTCGGTGATTTATTGCTCTTGGGGCATTAAAAACAAGATTTTAACTTTAGTTTTTTATATAATATCTGCATTTTCTCTTGTGAAAAACTAAGTCTTAGTTTGGCCATAGTTATTTAATATATAGCGCCATCTCCTGGTTAAACCCTGCAATTGGAAAATAGTGGGAGGGCTTAACATTCCCACATACTGGTCTTTGGCAGGTCTTAGGCAGGTAACTGGCTGGTAGTAGGCAGGAAGCTGTATGCTGGCGTCCGAAATAAGATGCCCCATCTGTAGTGTGGCTGATGAGCAGGTTGCAGGTGTGGTTGATTGGAGATTGCTCCCAGCCGTGTAGAGCAGACCAGCAGGCAGGGGGGGAGAGAGAGAGACACACACAGTAGAAACAAACACATACAAACACTAACAGGGGTTTCAGGGACAGGCAGTGACAGTCGGTCCGTTCTTCTATATGTCTGTCGGCCTCAAATCAAAAAATTTGGCTGAGCAAAAACTTCCTTAACCTCAACGAGAGCAAGACTGAGGTCATCTTTTTTGGACCCCAACCTCCAGCCTCTCCGGTTGATATTCTGGGCTCTCTCAATGAAAACATCCTCCCCTCTGTCATGAACCTTGGAGTGACCTTCACTAGCACTTTTAAATTCGACAAGCAGGTCAGCACCGTAGTCAAATCCTGCTTTTTTTAAATAAGACTATTGGCCAAAACCAAGTCGTATTTATCTTTTAAAGACCTAGAAAGGGTTATTAATGCCTTTGTTACCTCAAGACTGGACTATTGCAACGCTCTGTATGTGGGTATGGACCAGGCCTCAATTAAACGCCTGGAGCTAGTCCAAAACGCAGCTGCATGTCTTCTGACTGGCCACAAAAAGCGTGACCACATCACCCCAATTCTGGCCTCACTACACCGGCTTCCAATTCGGTTCCGAATTGATTTTAAAATCCTTTTATTTGTTTTCAAAGCCCTAAATGGGCTGGCTCCTGCCTATATAGCCAAACTCCTCCAGCGCTACACCCCAGCCAGAGCTTTAAGCTCTGCTGACCAGCTGTTGCTGATAGTGCCCAAGACCAGGCTCAAAACCCGAGGGCACCGAGCCTTCGCAGCAGCTGGCCCCAGGCTCTGGAATAGTCTGCCCCTCCATGTGAGGTCGGCCGAGACAATAGGGTTTTTTAAATCCTCACTAAAGACTCACTTCTTCTCCCTGGCCTTCTAGTCAGAGCGGAGCATGACACCTGACTATTCCCTGTGTTTTTGTTTTTTATATTTTTGTTGTAAATTATTGCCTTTTATTGTGATTGTAGTAATGTGTTTTTATTACATGTACAGCACCTTGGCTCGACCAAAAATCGCTTTTAAATGTGCTATATAAATAAAACTTAATAACGATTTTTATCCAATATGCATAAACAGTGGACACTGTTTATACACAGCCCTCACAAACCACACACGGCCAGATAGCTTATCTAACAGTTAGAACCTACATACGAGACACAACCTTTATAGTCAGAGAAAAAAAGTGATTATTTTTCTGATATTTTACACATGATATTATGAATAATGTGGGCCTACATACCTTAGTGTGATTATAAGTGCATGTGAGTGAATATTGGCATGCAAATTCGTTTTTATACGTCCTATTCATTGTCTCAATGCGCTCATACATCTTAAGAAAGTTATCACCAAAAATGTTAAGAATGTTTTTAGACAACGTTATCCTACCTTTCAGAAGAACATTCTAGGAACCAAAATAAAACGTCCCGCTGAAAACGTTTTAAGAACAGTAGGGCATAATGTTCTAACAATGTTATCAAAAACATCTTAAGGTTATCAAAAACATCTTAAGAAGGTTATCAAAAACATCTTAAGAAAGTTATCACCAAACATTTCAAGAATGTTTTTAAAGAACGTTATCCAACCTTTCAGAAGAACATTCTGGGAACCAAAATAAAACGTCCCACTGAAAACATTCCTAGAACAATGAATGGTAACATTCTCAGAATTTCTTGAGAACCAAAAATGTCTAGTTGGGAACTCACACATGCCACCGCAAACATGCAATATCTGCTTACAGCTTATCATGAATTACGTGCTTGTTTGTTTTTTTCTCAAGGAAAATATGGTGACATCAGATTTTTTTAAATATCCTTTTCAAACAAATGCAACAAGTTTGTTTTTTAAAGCGCTCTAGAAATAAATCTGACGTTGACCATGACCGTGTTAATATTTTCCATCACAGGAACGTTTTATAAAAAAAGAATAACATCCTGAAAACATCATCCGAATGTTGCTTTGAAAATGTTCTTCATTTGTTATCATGTAACATTGAGGGAACGTTTTATAAAGAACATCTTTAATGTGTTACCCAACAACGTCCAAAACACATCCTTAGAATGTTGCAGGCAAAACGTTCCACCTTTGTTAACATATCACATTAAAGGAACGTTTTATAAAAAAACGTTCTGTCATCTCAGGCCTCAATAACATCCTGAAAACATTTTCAGAATGTTGCTTGGAGAATGTTCTTCATTTGTTATCATGTAACATTGAGGGAATGTTTTATAAAGAACATATTTAATGTGTTACCCCAACAACGTCCAAAACACATCCTTAGAATGTTGCAGGCAAAACGTTCCACCTTTGTTAACATATCACATTAAAGGAACGTTTTATAAAAACACTTTCTGTCATCTCAGGCCTTAATAACATCCTCAAAACATCTTCTGAATGTTGCAGTTAAAACGTTATGTCTTAGTTAACCTTAAACCTTATAGGAACATTATTTGAAATAATAAACATCCTAAAAAGGTTATTTGAACATCAGATTAAAACGTTTCTTTAAAACATTATTAGAACCTGTAGGTAATGTTAGTCAAAGTTGTGAGAACGTTTCCCGCTAGCTGGGTTAGCGTCAGCTTTTCAGCATAAAGCATTCCCACTCGCAATTTCTTCAGGAATTGCATTCTCTAGTTAATAATGTGTTTTGTGTTGTTGTGGCTCTAAAGGCAGGCAATTGACCTTAACAACAATCCCACTGTTACAGTTTTTAAATGTTTTTCCCCCCCCCAAAAAATACATAAAAACTGAGCTATCTAGCCTGTTATTCGTTTGATTGATGAGTATTTATCTGGCAGTTTTAAGAATGTACCTCTACATAATAAAACATTTGTGTTTGGCTTATAATCAATGCTATTCATTTATTATCTTATTTTGGTGTATTCCTTTTGCAAGATGTTTATTTATAATGATCATATTTTTACTATCATTCTTGCATTTTGTTTTATTTTGCTGTCGTGAAGCACTATCTACTACTATGTCAAAACCCAGAACAAGAAAATTGAATAAATATAACACGGAGAGTTGCAGATGCAGAAGATAAAGCAGGCCATAATTACAGGGCAGGATAATGAAGGATATAAATAAACACTCTATTTTAGAAGGGACATCCTCTACAGCCTGTATTTATGTTAAGACTTTACACTTAACATGTCGATAATCAGCCTATCATCATCATCATCATAAGGTTTATACAGTAGGTGTGTACAGTACCTGTCCCTCCTTTAAGGTGATCTGTCCTTGTTCCTTACAGCCGATGAACGTCCTGTTACACCTGAACACTTGGTCCTCAATCCCAGCCTGATGAACATAGGCCGCCGGGAAGTAACCGATCCTGTCCTCAATAACCCCCTGAAGAAATATATGGAAAATAAACCAGTCGTTAGATAAAACACAGTACAGTACATTACTTTCTACCTATACACCTGGTTCATAGATATAAAGAGGATACGCTACGCTCACCTTCAGTACCTAAACATTGTACTGTGCATGTGTAACAACAGTATCTATAACAAACTGACCAGATGTCTCTGTTTATCTACAGCCGGTAGAAAACAGCAGCAGAGTTCAAATGCGTGATGAGTTTCTTCATGGTCTGGTGGTAGCAGGCTGCCTCTGTACAGTCACGTTTTCACCCTTTTGTCTACCCAATGTGTCTGTCGTGCAGTTGTGTCTCGAGGCAGCCTGTTGCCTCGCTCCTATAATTTAGAGCTCCACTTTGGGCATTTTGGTGCTTTGTGGAAAATCCACATTTCATGTAAACCGTTCAAAACTGCCTCCGTTATCTTATAACTTTTAATCTTTGAAGGTTAATTATAATATAAACAAAGAAAATGTTTAAGATGACTTGTCACTATTCATAATGGTGTTATGAGTTGGTTTTGAACCTACCTTCCACCAGTCATCATTCGAGTCGTCAGCCACTAAGATTCTGTCTCCTGCGCTGCAATATAGAGCACAAAAGACAAACATACTGAAAAAGGGAACGTTTTCCTCCTCTTATCTTCATGGTTTGATGAATCTATGTATAGTGACAGAAATCCCCTTTACAAAGTAAGTAATAATAACCACATCAGTAGTCATTTAGCTAACAATATAAAAGTTCACTGGCTAGAAACGAGAATCCTGTTCTATTTTATTTCTATGAGAAATTGTTGACTCTTTGTATAATACGTTTTGTGATTGTTTAGAAGTGAATCTGTTGTCATGGCACACTTCATATCTGCTGTTCAGCTAGTGACCTATCCGGCCAGCCCACATCATCCGATGAGGATCCGCTTCGGTACCCCTGACTACAGCTCAGTGAGGTAAAGGACTCTGAGTGTTTAGATAGTTCACTTTAGTCTAAGTTATCTCAGTGGGTCTCAAACGGTTTGGTCACAATTTATGTAAACAAATATTTCCAAGGCACACCTTTATAATTATTAGGTTAAATAAAAACAGGTTTGAAATCATTCCAATGTGTACTATATATCACGTCTCACTTTTAAGAAATGTTTTCAGGATAAAAAAGCGCTTTCTTTTAGGGTTTCTTTTGTGACATTTCTCAAACCATAGAGGTGAAGGTTATTACGTTTTCAACAAGGTTTAAGAATGAATATTCATAACATTTGAAATGCAAACATTTATTTGGATCATTTGTGCACAGATACAGAAATTGCAAATCACATTACAGGCATTTCAAAGAAAAAGTAAAGGTACAAGAGAAAGTAAATGCAGTGAGAGAAATAAAGCTGAAAGCTAATTTATCGTGATTCGGTCACTACCACAAGCACTTCTGGTTTATATTGTTTTATTCATCCATGCATGCGACCCTCGGGATATTCATTAATTTGTATTTGAACACCCCCATCGTCACTTTGATAAACTTGGTGCAACAACTCCTTTGGCCTAAAGAGAGCAAGACAAGAAAACATGAACAAATATTAAATAATTAGCAAAAACACAATACAATATTGTAAAACTCTCCATTACAGCTAAAAGCCCTGCATTCAAATGTATTTATCAAAAGCACGCATTATAAACAATGTGTTATATTGTTAATACTTTGTTACATGTAAGCAGTTTAATGTTCTAGCTCATCGTAGAGCAAATTTATCACGTGCGATAAACGTATTATGTTTTGTGTCTCAAATCTCAAGAGTGTTCTATACTGAAGCTCTCAGACAAATGTTGGGAAGTAAAGAGGACAACACTGCTCAGTATAAAGTAAATAAAATACTGAAAATATTTCAGTACATGTAAAAATAATCAATTTTTACAATAAAAGAAACATTAAAAGAAAAAATACATTAATAAAAAGTATATGAATAAAAAGTACATGAATACAAAGTTACAGTGCAGTTTAAGATATGAATAGTTCACACAGAAGTTCCATTTTACTGATGCCTTTCTTTAAGGTTTCTCCGAACATGAGCTGTGTACGCTTGTATGGTACATACGTCCCGAGCAGCATACACAGAGAAAACCAGCCAGGACAAAGTCCCCAGACACTGATTCCCTGGGGTTACTAGCCCCAAATGTTCATTAACCAAAAACGAAACACAACCGCTCAGTTTCAATTAAAAGCAGCGGCAAAAAGAAAAGTCTTCAGCCTGGATTTAAAAGTAGTAAGAGTTGCAGCGGACCTGCAGGTTTCTGGGAGTTTGTTCCAGATATTTGGAGCATAGGCTAATAACTAAACGCTGCTTTACCATGTTTAGTTCTGACTCTGTGGACAGAAAGCTGACCAGTCCCTGAAGACCTGATCAGGATGGTTCATAATTTAGCAGTAGATCAGAAATGTATTTTGGGCCTAAACCATTCAGTGCTTTATAAACCAGCAGCAGTATTTTGAAATCTATTCTTTGACACACAGGAAGCCAGTGTAAAGATTTCAGAACAGGAGTGATGTGATCCACTTTCTTAGTGTCAGTGAGGACTCGAGCAGCAGCGTTCTGCATCAGCTGCAGCTTTCTAATAGATTTTTTAGTGAGACCTGTAAAGACACCATTACAGTAGTCGAGTCTGCTGAAGATAAAAGCATGGACAAGTTTTTCAAAATCCTGCTGTGACATTAGTCTTTTAATCCTAGATATGTTCTTTAGGTGATAGTAGGCTGATTTAGTAATTGTTTTAATGTGACTGTTGAAACTCAGGTCAGAGTCCATGACTACACCTAGATTTCTGGCTTTATCTGTTGTTTTGAACATTGCAGACTGAAGCTCAGCGCTAACTTTTATACGTTCTGCCTTGGCTCCAAAAACCATTACCTCAGTTTTATCTTTGTTTAATTGGAGAAAGTTCTGACATATCCAGTCGTTGATTTGTTCAATGCACTTACTCAGTGTTTTAACTGGAGAATAGTCTCCTGGTGAAATGGTTATGTAAATGTGTGTGTCATCCGCATAACTATGGTAACTTATTTTGTTGTTTTTCATTATCTGAGCCAGCGGTAGCATGTAGACGTTAAAGAGAAGAGGCCCCAAGATGGAGCCTTGAGGAACCCCACATGTCATATTTGTCAACTCAGATGTGTATTTACCTATAGAAACAAAGTTGTTTCTGTCCTTTAAGTAGGATTCAAACCAATTTAGAACTGTTGATGAAAGTCCCACCCGGTTTTCCAGTCGGTATGTTGTGGTCAACAGTGTCAAACGCAGCACTGAGATGTACTGAAATATTTTCAGTATTTTATTTATGCTACTTTATACTGAGCAGTGTTGTCCTCTTTACTTCCCAACATTTGTATCTATGGTGCCCTTACATGACTGTGAATGAGTTTTGACAGAAATACAATTTATTTTTAAAGAGTTGTTATAATATCTGAAAAATATATGTATTCAAAATATTGTATAATGGCGGGCTGGAAACTCACTTGCAGGCTTTGGCGTTGACACAGATGGTCCGCACATCATCCGTGGTCGTGAGCTCCTCGATTAAATCTGAGAGGTGTGACTTGACAAATTTGCGGCACAACGATTTTAAGAGGCCAATCTCGTTGCAGACGGCCATCAGCTTTGACTTCAGTTTCTAGAAGAATGCAGATTATCATTAATGCTCATACCTTCCATGCACCGACTAAATCATCACCAAGCTGTCAGTGTTTTAGTGTTTTACCTCTGCTGTGGCGTTACGTCCGACCACTTTCTTCACCTTATTTAAAGTCCACTCGCAGGCCCAGCACACACCTGGAAGCTGGAGGTAAAAATTACACATTGTTGTAATATTAAGCAAAGGAATGAGTGCTTAAAACAGAACTTAGTGAATGGAAAAATGTTAAAAGAGCGGTAAAAAATCAACAAATAAATGGTTTTATCAAGAACCCATTAGATGCACGGATGCATTGAAGCATTATAATGTTTATAAGTGGAGTTGGTCACTTTAACATGCAGTCAATATAATATGAAATCATTGTAATTATAAAAAAAGTCTTCAGGAAATTGTGGAAACCCCATTAACTGTTTAATTTTCACAACGGTTGTATATTACTTACACAGTGATGCATCAGTATTAACCATCCTATGCTGTGATATATAATAATATGGGAGTCACGGGGGGTATTTTCTGCAGGAGTACCTTTAGTTTTTATACTTTAAGTACATTCTGCTTCTGTATTTTTACTTGTTTAGATTATCCTCCCCCACTCTAATGATAATCCTAACTTTATTCAGGCTTGAGTACAAAATAAAATCATTGTTAAAGCGAAATTTAGAGCTACATAATCTACAGAGACGCAGCAGATGGGTATTTGAGTCTTTGTACATTATCTAACATTTTGTCATCTGATAATAGTAGATGAATTGTTGACTAGCAGAAGGTTTGTAAAGCAGTCATCTTACCTTTCCAGCCTCCACAGAGATTTCCATTTCCCCCGGCTCCTGATCATCAATGTTGACCTCGATGCTTCTGCCGTGGATTGTCCATACTGAAGAGACAATACAACACATGTTGAAAAGCAGTGGACATGATGATAAAGACAACGTTACACAATCAAATAAACATCAGCACACCTGAACATGTCACCAGAATGCACACAATGAGGATCGAAGAGGTGTCCATGGCTGCCAGTGAGTGCAGATCTCTGAGTGTGTCTGTCTCTGTGTGTGTCTTTTATACATTTAACAGCACCCCCACAGAAGGACATTTAAACCACAACAAGGCTGGTCCCATGAGGTGGTGGGTTTGTTGAGACCACCATCACAAACATTTGTCAAAAAAAGGTGTGAAAATCAATTTTCACACCTCCCACTCACTCGCACCCCAGAGACAAAAAAAACCAACATTAAATGTGTCATCTGTGTGAAGATCAACGTTTTTTATCTTTCAAATTGAGCCAATAATCACTGAGCAGTTCATGCGTGCTGCCCTCAATTCAGAAAGGTGATGCTGAGCTTGAAGCATTGAATTATTTGGTTGTAAAAAAGATAAGGGTATTTGGATCTTTTCCGTTTTTATTTATTCAAAGAGGAATTTTTTTATTCCAGCCCATTTTCAGGTTCATATTTGTATTTAGTGCCTCTACTGTGACATGTCTCCATGCTTTATTGTTCAAAAAGGTGCAAGCACTATTTTTTAATGTCGTTCATTTTTGTAAAACACTATGAATGCGCTAAAACCTATAACACACAATAGGAAAGGAGAAACACCAAAAAGCCTAATAGGGCCTCTTTAAACATGTGACCACCCAATGGACTGTAGATGAAAATTCCTTCCAAGCTAAATGCTACATTACAATAAATGGTAACATTTAAGTTTAATATTTTACATGGTCTCTTACAAATAAAATAAAAGAGAGGTGTGTTACTTATTACCAAATAAGATAGATAACAGTCAGTAAAGCAATGGCATGGTAATACAGTGTGTGTGTGTGTGTGTGTGTGTGTGTGTGTGTGTGTGTGTGTGTGTGTGTGTGTGTGTGTGTATGTGTGTGTGTGTGTGTGTGTGTGTGTGTGTGTGTGTGTGTGTGTGTGTGTGTGTGTGTGTGTTTGTGTGTGTGTGTGTGATTCACAGCTTCTCACCTCCTCTGTATGATGGTCAGTGCTCCGCCTCAACTCTTATTTGAACTAGAATGGAAATCCTCCTCCTCAGTCTGGAGGTCCAGAAACGTACACAAGTTAAACAACCGCTGAAATGAAATATGTCTCATAAATATTTAAAACAAAAGGGAAAATGTATGTTGCATTCTTACGAGCATGAGATGCACATTGCTGATTGCTGATGAGTCACTGATGTATCATCAGCTTCACCTTCTGTGGCTTTTTATCATTTGCATGCCTCTCAAACACACATATTAGCACCGCACGTGCCATTTCCCCTGCTAAAGTCAGACACTGAATTTAAAAAGAATGTCTTACAAAACACGTGAAAGTATTTCAAATGTACTTATTAAACTAAACAAACGCAGACATGTTAAATAAATCAGTTAACCTACAGACAAACATTTATTAACTTAAAGTGGACCTATCATGCTATATTTGAATAATATAGTGTAGGACCATACCTATATAAGGCATATTTATACTTTTTTTTTTCCAAAATACCAAACAGATCATGCATTTTAGCCATGCCTCATTTTGCTCAATTTGACAATTTCTAGCTCTGGGCAGATTCAGTGAGAACAGCACCATCCACTGGCCTGGCATATGTACTACAGCGTCTCCAGCGCTTTCGAACGGCAATGGCCGTGGCTGTCTCCTCCTGATTGGTGGAGTTGGCCCAATAGCCGTAGCGCCACCGTCCTGACGTCAGGACAGTGTACAAATCTGGATCAGTTTTTATCAGATCCGTTGCAGCCCCTTTTTTAGAGATTTGGGTATGGAGGAAAATAGAGAGGGTTGTGTTTTCTGACACTTGGTGAGTTCCCTGGAACACCGGGGACACATATTCATGTATAAAAGACGTACAAAAGTGCATTTTGCATGATAGGTCCCCTTTAATGTATTTAATTTAGTCCTAATATTTATGTAATTGCTGCAGGGGCCTGGCAGCTGTTTTAGGGATATGTAGACAACAAGTTTATAGAAAGTGCCCTCTTGTCCATTTATTGATTTACCATTTAATATATCGATAAATTCATCAAGTTATATTTGTTTCAAATATATTGTTTTTATTGTTCCCTTTTTAGAGAGATTTAAAAAAGATTGAAGATACTGAAGATTTATTGCATAATGAACATGCAATGGGCTTCAACTTTAATGACTCAATATTTATTTTCCCCTTCTTGTTTTCACATATTAGTAGTTGTTTTTTCCTTGACATAAAGACTTCCCATACTGGCAAAAGTGTGCCATAGTGTCAAAAGCAGCCTTATGGAAAACACTATGACACTTGTTTGAGAGAAAAAAAAACAACATTCATCAAATTCCAATGTAACTGTGTTTGGTTATTATTGAAAAACCCAAGAAGCTACTAGAGGGGATATATCCTTTAAGGAATGGATGCACGAAATAGCCAAAATCTCCTCCTATGAAAGATTATGCTCTAAGATGATAAATAGAATGGATATGAAAATATGGGGCCCTTTTGTGGCGGTGACTTGAAGTCCTGGAGAGCTCCACCCTTTCAAATAATTGAAAACCCAAAATAAAGTTATAATGTGATGTACTACGTATTTGATGTATATAATGTGTTTTATTGTAGTATGTGCAGGATGGTTTACATACCGCGTATCGTGTATGCCATGGATGATGCTCTACCTCTGTGATGTTCCCTTTGTCCGTTTTGTCCGTCTTGTCAGTTATTGTCCTGTCTCTGGTGTAGTTTGCCGTGGTACTTTGATATCTTGATATGTGAAGATGATGAAGGATTGTTAAATGTAACGCAACGGTCCCTGATCAGCCTGTCGCATGTTCTTTTACCAATAATGACCGCCTCGCTGCACATTATCTCTACATATGTTGCATCTGTTGTTCACCTTTTTCAAACACAAAGGGTCATGTATTCTCCTTAAAGTAAAGCCAGTTTCTTATCACATGTAGCTAACCGTGTTGTATGTGTTAACGTCAATCACTTAAACCTTTTTGAATTTCGTTTCTAGAATTTATAAATATGACGCAGCTTTTAGTCTTATAATTGGGTAATGTTGCATTATGATTTTATTATTTCTTCAAAACTGCTTTTATGAATTTGAAATGTTTCTACCTGCGGTGTTATTAAAAATATGCATTAATGAGTTTGTTTCCCTTGTGGCGTTATTGCTTGTCGCAGAGTTAATAATTATCAATTATGTTTTAACTTTGTAGAATGCCACACTCTATTTTGGCTGTCGAACTAGTTTACTTTAATTATTGGACAGTAACATAATATTAACTACAGGGCACAGAGAGGGAGTACAGATAAATAAATACTTCAAACACACAAGCATGACCGATGACACACACATTTGTTTGCCTTGGACTCGGATGCACTGCAGAGGATGGATATAACAAAAGCTGATTGGAGTGGCGCCCATGGTCAAAAAGCAGAGAAATTCTGCAGCTCTGTGGTCCGACACAGGCCTTCTCTACTGAGTATATACAGTAGAATTATGTTATAATGAGAGCAACAGCTTGCAATATGTTTATCAAATATTACATGTGTTGGTAGTGTATCTGAATATGGATTTGTGGTGAGAAAAACAGTGAATACTGTAGTCAGATGTGTTTAATGAATAATGTAATAATCAGTCGAATCCTTTCATCAAAGTTCTTTCAAAACCAAAAAATGTGAGTTTATAATATATAATGTTACATGAGAAACAAGGTAATTAATGGCCAGACTAGATCTGTGTTTGTTCTCCCCTGCAACGAGGCCTACTAACTAAATCATTGCAGCATAACCGTGAGAACATAAATGTTCAAACCTTTATCTGGAAACTGGTTTCTGTGGTTTCTTAGTTTGTTGTCGATTTCAAAGAAAGGTTTCAGTGGCATGTGTCGAGAATGTCCACCTCAAACAATAACGGTGTTGGTGGTCTTTACTCGTTAGATCAATGCAACTAAATCTCACTTACTGTTACCAAGTCTTATCCACAAATATGCACATTCAAGAAAATAAAACCTGCCATGTAGCTGGATGGGGTTTCATAAAGACTGGCCGTGGAGTTGTTGATAGGCTGATGGTGGTGGATGTGTCTGTCATAAACCTGAACACATGCTCTAAGTCATGGGGTCATATTCCTTCCGATGTTATCTGTGCCGGCGGTTATGGCAGCCACAAAGGCTTCTGTCAGGTATGATTTCTCTTTGTTGATGTAAAATGTAAGCTGGTATAAAAATGCTTTAAAAATCTTAAATAAAATAATCAATAATGAATAATATTCCTTGTTCACAGGGTGATTCTGGTGGTCCTCTGGTGTGCGGCGGGATAGCTGTTGGTGTTGTGTCTTACAACTACCGCGGAAACTGTGACTACCCAAATAAACCCAACGTCTACACAGAGATCTCCAAATACCTTGGCTGGATCAACAGTATCATCAATTAAAAAGCTTAGTATGCAATTTCCTAAAGCTTTGCTTCAGCACACTTTGAATGTATTTAGGAGGGGAGGCTGTGTCTCAGCTGCTCTGTCAGTGTTCGCTCTTTAATGGAAAAGCAAAATAAAGCAAATGTCTCAAATGTTGTTTTCTCTTTTCTTTATCCGAACACATGAGGTTTGAATCTCTTATAGGAAAAAGTTTTACTTACTTTACAGATTGGTCTATCAAGGTTTATTTCATCAGTATACATTCATTTTGTATGTTTAAATAATCATAATAATGAGATCCTGCACTTGGAGAGGTTGAGCATGTCACGTCACCATAGTTCTAATGTCGGATTATAAGCAACTTTTAACACTCATAGAACGCACTTCAATAGAATTAACTAATGTAAAAAAATGGCAAACAGTATCAGAAATCTAACTCAGCTGAAATTGTTTTACATGCTTTTATTACTAGTCGCTTGGACTACTGCAATTCTCGTAGTTTCCCGAAAAAATCTTTAAAGAAATTGTAATTAATTCAGAATGCTGCGGCCATGATTTTAACAAACACAGAAAAAAGGGATCACATGTTCCCTGTGCTGGCATCACTGCACTGGTTACCGGTGTCTTTCCGAGTTGATTTTAAAATGCTTTTAATTATTTACAAGGCTTTACATAACCCGGGCCCTACACACATCAGGGACTGCCTTTCTTTTTATAACCCAACAAGGACACTCAGATCCTCCGTGGCATTTCTTTTAGAAGTACCTAAAGTAATACACAATACATCTGGGGAGGCTGCTTTATGTTTTTCCCATTGGATCTTAGAACAGCAAACTCCATTGGAGTTTTTAAAAGTAAATTGAAGACCTATCTTTTAATTTGGAGTAATTTTAGAGGTATAACTTTTTATGTTGTATTGTTTTATGGTTCTGTGATATAAGTCTTTCTTGTTTGTTTATAACTTGTTTTTAATTATGTTCCTCCTTATTTTGTATCTGTAAAGCACCTTAGGCTGCATCTTGCATTAAAGGTTCGATAATAATAATAATAATAATAATAATAATAATAATAATAATGCATTTTATTTAAAGAGTGCTTATCTAGAAACTCAAAGACACTTAGTAAAGCAATAGGGTTTTATCCAAATGCATTATCTTGGCATGATAAAAAAAAAGGTATCCATTGAGCTGTAGGGGAGAAGAGAGGGGAGGCAATCTTACTTCTCAGTACAAAGCAACCGTACCTAATATGAAAGGCACAAAAGTTCATCAAAATATACTTCAATATATTATCATAAGTTATACTGTTCATTATGTAGACACTCCATTCTAAAATATTGTTTAAATCAATATTTGATTTGAACTATAGACTTTTTTTATTTATTAGTTTATTCCACTTATGGCAATTATTATAAAACAAAACATGTACTCTTTACACAGTTTGTGTAATGTAGGCCATGATGGAAAGCAGCAGGGAGAAAAAAAATCGAAATGTTTTCAATCAACTTGTTGACGATGGTAAAGGTGGCGAATACATTTTTAAGAACAAACAATAAAAAGGTCAGATTAAAGTAGTACTAGTCTCTTATTTTACATTACATGTTACTTGTTAGATGCTTTCATCCAAAGCAACTTACATACTCAATACTGTGGGCAATCCCCACAAGAGCAATTTGGGGTGAAGTGTCTTGCCCAGGGACACAACGACATGCTGACTGCAGTGGGGTTTGAACCTATGACCCCCTGATCCGAACAGCAAGGCTCTATCCACTGCGCCACACGCCTCCTTATTGCTCTCTTATTGTCGTTTGAGGTGCAGAGAATGTGACCAGCAACAACACCAGACAGTGTCAAGGGTTTGCACGAGGCCTTTAGTATCCAGTCAAAATATGTGTTTTATAGCACTGATACATCTGTAGCTGTTAAACAATGATAAAATCATTGAGCTCTAGTTTCATAACTGCTAGTGTGGGAACATCACTACTCAAATCTTTAGTTGGAAACTGTGGTTTCTGTGGTTCACCTAGATTGAAATGCTATGCAAAGAAATGTCTGGGTTGTATCAGATAAATCAGCTCACTTTTTTTTTCTCTTTGGCTGACAATGTTTATTTGACTCATAATAGTATGCACAAAAAGTGGAGCAATGTCCAAAAAGTATTCATTAATTAAAAAAATTGCGTGAATAAAAATGTCAGATACAAAATGAGCATCGGGTAGATTATAGCAGATAAAAGCAATTAATTCAACCTATTGATTTAAACAAACAAAAAAAACTGTTTTTATGCAAACAAATTACACTTCAAAAGAGTGAAAGCTCCTAAGAACATATTTAATCTATAATACATTTTGGTCAGACACTGACTAATGAGCCACAGTGCTCTTTTAGATTATTTGTCAGATAGCGTTGACATGTTTTCACAGAATTATCTTCACACTTGACTGTGATAATACTGACACTCAGACTTTGAGATGCAAACTGTGGTTACAGCAACTAGTTTGATTTATGGTGCAACATCGCAGTAATAAAAAGACAACAGCCCAAATGTGAAAGCTGAAATGTAGATCCATACCAAACAATTTTGATTATTTTTCACATATTTCATCCAACTAAATGTGACTAAAGCTTATTTAGTCACATTAAGGATAAGTATTATCCAAACAGTGACAAGAATATCCCAGAATTTTCTGAAAAAACACGATACTTGATATTTAAATAGATAAAAAAGGATCACTTCAAGCAAATGACATCAAATGTTGTAGAGAATAAATTGTTGACCATGTGAAAACTCAGCCATGCTGTTCACATAATTCATGTGCTTCAGGCTGTGGAGGCCGCAGAACCACAGGCCTTATATTTACTGAAACATCTGCAACACTTCATGAGTTGTCATTTCTTTACTACCACATGCACTCATCACTTCAACACAATTAATGTTTGCACAGGGTCGCTGACTGAGGGAACTGGTTTATAAAAGGGTCGACACAACACCCAAAGACAACAGGTTCAGTTTGCTGCAAGCATGAAGCACGCTCTGCACAGGATTCTGCTTCTTCAACTTCTTACAACTCTTGGACTTCATGGTAAGATTCCCACATGTGGTTATTTGTCTCTTTTCTACAAATGCAGTATTAACTCATCCTTCTTTTCAGCACTTGGTAGTGAAATCATAAATGGTGAAAAGGTCCCGGAGAACAAAATGCAGTTTATGGCCTCGGGTTCAGAACAGCAGAAACAAACATATCTGTGGAGGATTCCTCATCAATAAAGACTTTGTGGTCACTGGTCACGTCACTGTACCCAGCAAGAAAGAAATGGAAAAAGAAAGATCTCCAACGAGGCGTTCTGGGGCAGCCAGACAGGTCTTTTCTTTGTTAGAGTTTTACTCGCTACAGGGTGTACTTTGAGGGTTTGTGACTTTGCAGACGGTTTACATGCAGAAAAAGCTACATAACACACAAGGGGACGGGTAATAACCGGAAAAGCATGACATGGGACCTTTAACAATTATGTTTTAACTTTGTAGAATGCCACACCCTATTTTGGCTGTCGAACTAGTTTACTTTAATTATTGGACTGTAACATTACATGTTACTTGTTAGACGCTTTTATCCAAAGCGACTTACATACTCAATACTGTGGGCAATCCCCACAGGAGCACTTTGAGGTGAAGTGTCTTGCCCAGGGACACAACGACATGCTGACTGCAGTGGGGTTTGAACCAGTGACCACCTGATCCGAAAACCAACACACAACCCACTGCACCACACGCCTAACATAATCTACAGCAGTGGTTCTCAACCTTTTTACACCAAGTAGGCCTACCACCTGAGAAAATAGTTGGCTCTCCAAGTACCACCATATGACCAATGTTAAAATACAGTCTATGCACAGTTCATGCAGGACTCGGAGGCAAATGTATTCATAATAACATTATTTATTGTCAGCCACAGCTACATGTACAAAGGGCAGTCTCTCTCTCTCTCTCTCTCTCTCTCTCTCTCTCTCTCTCTCTCTCTCTCTCTCTCTCTCTCTCTCTCTCTCTCTCTCTCTCTCTCTCTCTCTCTCTCTCTCTCTCTCTCTCTCTCACTCATCACTCACTCACCACAAGTGAGAATATAAAGAACAAAATAATAACTTATTCTCACACAACAAATGACAACTGTACATACATGTCATTTCCTATACCAAAGTTTGAATGTAGGCCTCCTGCAACAACCTACATTGTAACAGAAAATGTCCTATTGGGAATTCAGTTCCACAATAATAATGAAAGCCTCCAGGAGCAAATGAGCCGGGCAAATAGCTAGTTTGCTATTGCCATTTCTGTGGTGGCAAAGTAAAAAAGAAAAGATAACAATAAGGACAAGTGTGTGCTTTTTCAGCTTTTGAACTCGGTCACAGCCTTCTCTGACCCGGACCGATTTGACCGATTTGCACGTCAGGACCGCTACGGGCCTCCACCAGAGTTTCCTCTGGCTTCGCCGTGCCCAGGCGTAGTTCACCATCTTTCGGGTCCTATCGCACGCACTCACGCTCCAACATTTTTTGTTACTGTATCTGAATATAGATTTGTGATGAGAACAAAACAGTGAATACTGTAGTCAGATGTGTATAATGAATAATGTAATAATCAGTTGAATCCTTTCATCAAAGTTCTTTCAAAAACAAAATGTGAGTTTATAATATATAATGTTACATGAGAAACAAGGTAATTAATGTTCTGACTAGATCTGTGTTTGTTCTCCCCTGCAACGAGGCCTACTAACTAAATCATTGCAGCATAACCGTGAGAACATAAATGTTCAAACCTTTATCTGGCAACTGGTTTCTGTGGTTTCTAAGATTGTTGTCGATTTCAAAGAAAGGTTTCAGTGGCATGTGTCGAGAATCTCCACATAACGGTGTTGGTGGTCTTTACTCGTTAGATCAATGCAACTAAAGCTCACTTACTGTTACCAAGTCTTATCAACAAATAAGGGGACAAAAACAAAAACAAATTAGGCCTACCAGTACAGGAGAGCATGTCCAGGAAACCCGCAGTCGGAGGAGAATATTGGGAAGGCTCTAAAACCAGCATCATGTAGAAAGCCGACACTCATACTGCAAGACCGAAAGCACACAGGAGCTAAAACAGCTAAACATAACAAAAA